ACCGATGCAAACAGATGCCACGATTGTACACGAGGGCATGTTATTGTCGCCAGAGGTCCAGTTACGTGTGTGTTCGTCTGGCATGTTTATGAATCCGTTTTGTTATTAGTTTAACACAACTCCCTTTGCATTTCAATTTAGTGCATGTTGCTTTATGTCACAATTTGTTAGTGGCATGACAAAGAACAAACAAACCACAAAATTAAACATAATTTAAGACCAATGTGTTTGTGAAGATCTACTCTACAAAACTGTATTTGAGCTGCAGTTGAAACAAATTAGTTTTTCAAGTACTTTCATTTAGCTTTCTGTTGTTTTTTTTTTATGGCAGTCGACTTTTTTGGATTTTGTCAACTTGAAATTTAATTTTGTCCTTTTAGACTTCTACTTGAATTTTTGCGAAAGTGCAAATTAGACGCTTCCTTTTTTGTTTCTTCATATTTTTCTGCTGTAACCTGACAGCTGCTTCCTTCAAGTGGGATTACTGAGAAAAGACAAAGAAAGATCGGTAAGTGTAATGACAAAATCTTACAAATTAAGTTTACAAAGGCAAATATTTAGAATAGAATAGAATAGAATAGAATAGAATAGAATAGAATAGAATAGAATAGAATAGAATAGAATGGTTTTATTGTCATCGTACACAACAAAATTAAAAGACAACTCTAGTGGTGTAAAATACAAGCATAAGAGACAAATAAGAATATATAAATATATTTACAAAAGGAGCCAGTAGGAAGTACATACAGTTTATTCTACCAGATGATGAGCTGGAAAATTGAAAACCTTAAGCTGCCTTTTCTTAAAATGAAGTTGCAGCAATGTGAACTCTTCATTAGAGGGGAATCACTTGACTTACATACATCTAACATAATCTAAACTTAATTCAATTATGTTTTACCAATTAAAATAATTCATTTCAGTTGGTCCCATCATTCTCTTTTTTCAGTGTACTGCAGTGTCACATATTAGCCGTTAGACTGAGAACACTATAAAACTGGGTCTCCACATCAGAGTGTCAGACATATCAGTGATGTATATTATTATCACTCCTCCTGAGCTGTTTGACTTCTGCTTCCTCTGATTCCGGTGTCACACCTATATGGGTACAATATTGTTTTTTTCTCAAATAACCCTTCAAGTCAGACTGAGTGTGCAGCTCGCTGTGTTAGAGAGCCACATCGGCTGATTCCCCAAGTTGATTTAGCTGTCATATCACATCTGCATCAGCAGCAGTGCTGCTGAATCCTATTTTGAAACCCCTCATTAGTGTTTCAGTGCGCTCTGATTGCTGATTGACCAGATTGAGATTGTAGGCATCAAAGCTATTTCCTCTTCCCAGTCACATCCTGCCCATATTCCCTTCTTCATCCTCCCCTGTCTCTCAAGATTTAAGGGTTTCTTAGGGTTTAGTTGAGGTCAGTCCTGATTGCTCTTTATTCAGGTCTGCTTTTCCAAACTCTCACTTGAAAATATATTCTTTTTGTGAACTTGTTTCTAAGAACAGTTAACTGTGAAACTCACAAATAAGCCAAAAACTAAACTCTTCTTTGAACTAACTCATGAGCACATGGAAAGGTAATTCAGAGACTCCATCGATCACGTCACAGACTAAAAAGAAAAGATGACTCAAACTGTACATTAGTAAAGCAGAAAATATATTTTCTGTACATTTAATACTTAAAAAAATTGTATTTTCTCTTTCTTTGTGGTCTGGGGTTTACAGTGTTAGCAATGAATGCATTATTTTCTCATATGTCTGTATCATATTTACTATTCCTGTCATTATAACAATCTACCTGCTGTTTACAGCCATGAATCAGCTTTTTAACCACAGAATGAGGCTCATGTATCCTGCAAGCACATTGTAGCTCCTTTTAGTTTTCTGAATTCAGTTTCAGCACTGCATATATTTCATGCAATGCAACTTGTGCAACAGCAGAGATGAGATCGGTGGTTATTCCTTTTCATTTCCTCTTCATATCTTTTTTTTTTTTTCTCTTTCTTGATGTGGATTTCAAGTCACAATTTTTCACTCTTGATAAAACTACTGAGTCGCTCCCTATGTTTTGGCGTTAAGTTTTAATGACATGCAGCATTCATTGGCAGAGATGAGAGGGCGGTTGGTTTGAAAGGCTCTCTGAAGTGTAACGCTGCACCCAAATGGCTCATTGGGCTTTCATGCCAATTTGGTATGATCTCTGCCATCTCAAAATGTAAATAAAAAAGCTTATGCAAATGGGAAGGATTTTATATTTCTGCAAGGATTTAAATGTTTGTTTACTCATATGACTCCCTCTGAGAATATGTGTGGTTTTTATGTGCTGCTTTAAAAAAAAAACAAAACAACATATGAATATGCAGATGGTCCTATCTTATTTTTGCATTTGATGACAGGTTTTGATTATTTTTTGGGCATAAATGCAAATGAAACATTAAGTAAAACACTCAGATATAATTTAAGAAGAGATAGAGACAGGAACATGTCATGAGTTTTCTTTTTTCTCTCTTTAGGATGTGTTGCAATCGTGACTGGGAATGAATCACAAAAGAAAAGAAAAACTGTAGGCAAAGAAAACAGACGTTTTTTAACAGTAACTTCTAGGAGAAAGTCAGCCTTCAAAAACTAATTTCACAAGTTTTGCATTATCACAGTCCCACTTTATTGGACTTCATGTGAAACCACAACATATTTCATGTTGCTTATCAGTTCTATGTTACAAACAACCCTTTGTTCCTTTGATTCTCGACATTTAAACAAACTACCAAACTACCTGACATTGCAGTGTTCCACTGAGTTAGGTTGGGAAAACTCACTTGTTCAGCTGTACAACTTTGTGTTATCGGTAAATAAGGCGGTGCATCCATCACGGTGACCCGGGGATTCAATCTGTTTCGAGTTAAAATGTCCTTGAGGGTCTGATCATGAATGAGATAGTATGTTTACCCTCTAGATAACAATACCACCCTTCAAATATCCTACAACGCTCTGCTTCTCTCTGATGTCGGCGGACGGGCGCAACGTGGCACATTTACAAAAGAAAGCGCTTCCGTAGTCAAATCTGACTGTGTTCACACCTCCTGCAGCTCTGACGGCGTCCACGACATTTGGATAAGTTAAGCCTGTCGGCGGAAAGAAGCAACGTATGGGATGAAATGCGGAAAAGAACATTCGAGCCTGCTGCTGAACAATAAGTAAACAAAACTGACTTCTAAACAATATGTGTGAAGAATAAATAACTGACACAGATGTCTATCTATCTATCTATCTATCTATCTATCTATCTATCTGTTTGTAGATTTTGACTACACAACCATTTTAAGCGAGTCAGTTCATTTAAGTTAGTACAGAATCAGCTCCAGCAGTGTATTATCATAAATCTTTCGCTCTTTGACCACAGAGGCTAAAAAGTTCAAGAAAACTTGTGCTTTTTGAAAAGTAAATTATCACTTAATGTTACATGACTTCTCATTAGTGTTCGGGTGAAAGCTAAATAATAGTTTTTAATAGTTTCTTAAAGAAGTTATTGCCAAATCTTATATTTGTATATCTGTTTTACACAAAAATATTAATGGTAATAGGCCAATTAAAAAGAGGCTGGATTTGTTTTAGTTTTTATTTTTAGACTTTTTTTTAAGATTATTTATCCTATAAATGCTGATTAATAGATACAGAATATTATACGTTGTGGGTTCTGTTGGTTTCAATGCCAATAAATTAATTAAAAATAAACAGGGGACACTCCCGTAACTAAAAGATACAAGGGGCCGATGTACAGCTGTAGAAGCAACGCAGCCGAATGCGTTCAGAGCATCCCGTATCACTGCAGATACAAATATCTGAACCACACCATCACTGCCTTGAGGGAGTTTGTTTGTATTATTTGATTCTAATTGGATCCACAGAGGATCGAGAGAAGCATGCACATTTGAACCACCAGACATGAAAAAAAATAAAATAAAATTCAAACATGTCTCGCAAGCCCACAGGCGACAAGATAAGCAAGATAAGCGGCTTCATAAAATGTTCCAAAACTACTAACATTTATTCAAAAGTCCCAAACTCCAAAGGTCACTTATGGCAAAGTTATGGATCGCTGCGTGTGGCCTTGAAAGTGTTTCTCTCCTCAGAGCGACAAGTGATGAGGTGGGAAAAAAAAATAACTAATTAGATTTTTAAGACTTTTTCTCAATATCATGCCCTCGATATCCCCTCTGATGAAAGTAACTTTTATAAAAGTAGAACCAGTGCTTATGAGAAAACGGTTGTTTCAACAGGGTAGCTTGAAAAAAATAAAGTTTTTGGCGTAGAGGTAAAGTGGCATCAAAACTGATGCCATAAAGAGTTTATCAGTTAGCAAGTTGTTCTAAGCAGCTCTTGTGTGGATTTCAGCTGCTTCAGCTTCTGCAGGCGATGATGTTGGGGCTCTGAGGGGGCCTTGAAGGATTTGTTCTCATTTTTTGGGTGTGCTGCAAAATAAATTACTGGGACTGATCAGGCATCCTAATAGTAGATAACTGTCATAAGGCAGAAGTGATGGGTTTTTATCATTGTATTGGTTTGCAGTGTTTATGCATTTATATTTATTTATGCATGATTTTACTTATTTTAACTTTTTATGCCTTGGGTTTTATTCTGTTTTTATTGTGCTTTACATTTGATGTTTTTATGTGCGTGCATGCAATACTGTGTTGACACACTTCTAGCCTTAATTGGACTTAATGAGGAATAATCTGCACGTGTGGTCGAGCTGATGGACAAGCACAACCAGCCACTAAGGGGAAGGAGAGGAGAACTCGCGGCCAATCCGTGGCTGGGGGGAGGGCGCAGCGGCAGAAACACAGGAAGGAAAGACCCCACAGCACAGGAAGTGGAGGTGAGCGCGTGGCAGCAGAGACACACCTGCTCGGCAGTGTGGCAGCGATGGAGGTGAGAGGACCAGCCGAGACGGACGAGGAGTTTCCCCCAGACGGTGTAACCGGGTTCTAAAGACTAACCAGCCAACGCCTGTTTCCTCCGGCCTGGGTCGCCAGTTTCGCTAGCGACCCGGGAAAACCGTGAGTAGTTTTTATCGATTCATTGGCGGCCTGTATGTGTCCGGAGGTGCTAACAGGTGCTAGCTAAACCGCGCTCGTAATTGTGGACCGATGCTCGCCAGTTGCCGTTTGTGTTCATAGAGGGCTGGGCCGGAGCCAAACACGTGGACTGTGGTGTGGCGCCAGGACTCCAGGAGCTGGGTGGACTGCGTGAAAGAAGACTGCTAGGGCCTTGGCTGACTGTGGGTTGGGCGAAGGAAATATTAATTGTTTTATTAAATGCCTTTTATTGTGATCCTTTGTTATTTTAAAACTCTGCTCTTCTTGATTTTAAGAACCTGTTTGAGTCCTAGGCTCTCTCCTAGGTGGCGTTGTCGTTTTTAGTTTTAAAATATTATCAGTTTATAATATATTTAATTATAAATTCTGGTTTTATTGTTTTTAGTTGTTTTAAGCCCTAGGCCCCTGGTTTTTTTTACATAACAATCTAAGCAGCTGAGGAGCCCAGCACCTACTGCCTGTCAGCGTCCGTCAACCCTGTACATATCTATGAAGGAATGCATTTTATGCCCACCAGATGTTCAGTGACATCGAATATAATATATGAGCTATTTAAATTAATGTTATGTAACAGAAAATGCTAATTCTGACCTTCAACGAGTCATTGCAGTTGAAAATTGTGGCAAATCGTAGTTTTAAAAAGCATTTTCAACTTATTGCAATGTATTGTCAAACTAACACGTCTCTTGTGATTGTATATGCATTTTTGTTCAGAGAAGGTCCAAAATAAACAGGTTTGACTCTTAAAAACTGACAGAAAAGTTGACAGAGCAGTGTGAAATACTTACCTAGAGAAATGTCTGGGTCTCCAGGGACTACTTGCCCTGATTCTAAAGCTTCACTGTGTTCTCAAATCTTCAGGCATTACCCACGGTACAGAGTATTTTAGAGCTTATTCCTGCTCAGGCTTGTTGTTAAAGAGGCGACTCTCACAGCTCCTGGACTCTCACGTTCCTCTTGACATGGAGTTGAGGCTCCGTGGAGCTTCGCTCATGTATCTTTTATAGGCTCTGCTGCCAAGTTCTTGTCACCTCCATCATCCAATCACGCCATCACTGAGGGACAAGGACCTCATCTCCAGATGGAACAACTTTTGACTCTTCTCTCCCTCATCATTTCCTTCACAAGGCTTTGATCCCTCATCACTGAGTCCCTTTACTACCTTGTTTACTTCATTTCTTCATTAACCCTGGATAATGATCAACCCGGCAAATTGAATATATTACATTTAAATCATAACAGAGCTGTGCATGATAATGATACTAAAAGACAATACCAGCAGCATCTAACACTGACGGTGTTTGTTAGAGGAAAACAAACAGGAAGTCTGTGTGGACAGCTGTGTTAAACTCATCTGTCATCAGTCTGTCCACTGAGATGCTTCATTTCTTTCTATGTAGATATTTATTTAAAATCTTGAACTCAGACACTGTAACCTTCTGCAAAAACAACAAAAGGGATTTTGTGTTAATTTTTTTTGCCCCTTTGGGATAACACAACAAGCTGTTTACTAGCACTTAGATAAAACCACCATATGAAGTTGAGGCTGTGTGATGTGCAACACTGGCACATATCTGAGAATCAACAGTCTGATACTAACTTTCCTTTTAGCTCTGTTTCGGTGTCCACCAACTTCTAAAAGGGAGTGTTTGAGTCCAGCTGCCAAATGCTCCAACATGGTTCCGATTCAGCTGCTAAATTTGTTTAGTTTGGCTCATAAGGACCAGGGGTTGACTGGAGAGTTGTCCTAAAGTGGAGCTCTTGTCCATTGAGGTAGGGTGTGTGTGTGTGGGAGGGATGGATGGTTTCTATTCTGTCACTAAAAACTATTCCCAATGAAAACTGAAGACTCTGTGGATGTGGATTGTCAGTTACACTGTTTGTAACTGTTACTAATGCTGAACCACAAAACCCATCCTTATTTATATAGCTATAAAAAGGCATTTTTCCAATTTATTTTTTAATGAAATCAAAAGTTTACTATTTATTTATTTGCACTTTGGTTGAAGTGGCTCTTCAAATGTATTTGAGGGAGAAAAAAAATTATGTGTATTGAATTTGTGGTACAATAATGGACATGTTTGGTGCAGGCGTAGTTCAGTAAATTGTGTTTTCAGTATGAGGCCTGCAGTCTCTTGCCTTATTTAATAGTGCCTCTCCTTCAAACATTGTTGTATTTAATGAGCTGAAAAATGAAAGGTCCCTGTGACAATATACTTGCCATAGCAGAAATTACTTTGATTCTCCAGAAGAAGTAATATTTGTCAAATATCTTTGTACAAACACCTTTGATGGTCCTGGACTCATCCTGAGCACAGCAGTTATTCCCAATAATTTCACTGTATAGCAGCTCACTGTTTTTTTTCTTTTTAGAGAAACTTTGAGTTTCTAAGGTTCCTGCAATATAATAGTTTTAATAAGGTCAAAGAAAAGAAGACTTTGTACATTTGTTTGGTCAGCACGACATGATTTTAAACAGGAAGTGTGAGACGGTGCCGTGATGCTGGAGGAGACAGGTGTGATTTAGATGTCAGGAAGATGAGCTCAGGTGGGCCCTGACCCACTTTAACCCCCGACGCCTGCAGAGAGCAGTCACACTGAACCAAAACAAAGTTGTGGGTCATTAAACCGAAACAATTAGTTAGACGGTGCTAAAACTCTCTGTAGAGCCGAGGGGAAGCTGTGGCGCCATCATTTTCTGTCCGCTCGACGCTACAAGTGACCCCTTAAAAAAATCATACATATTCATATTTATTTGATCCATAATTAACATTAAATATGCATTAATGCAACTTTAACTTCAGGGAGCACTCATTTACAACACACTGCTTTATCCACAGACCATGTACTGTGTTTTCAAATGTGGAAACATCACACATGATTTGTTAAACTAAAGACAAATAGTATTAACCAGTGCTAACAGCTAATTATTACTTTAGCCCTTAAGAATATATTGACCCTGTGCTCATACTGCCACAGTGAAATAATAATAAATGTAGAGGACATCAGGGAACACACACAGTCGGAATTCGCTTGCAGACAAGCACCTCAACGAAAAGGTAATATACAATAAGTCTTGTGAGTTAGAGCCCAGATCCTACCCAAGATGCCTCTAAGATGTCCTTGTGATACCTATAGGATTTTGACTTTTGTTTTTGCTTGCGTGTTCTGTTCTCGCAGTTCTGTTTTATCAATCTCACTCCGCCGCGCTGCATCGGGAGGCATTCAAGCTGACCTTAATAATACAGGACAACGTATTGTTCGATGCTTTGAGGAGCTTATTAGTGGCAATTTTCTGTCCCTCTTGAATGTTCTACAGGTACAATAACAGAACCAAAAATAGCCTTTGCATCAGTTTCATTAGAGAAGTGAACAGTGTTCTCAAGACTGGCCCAGTTCTGCCAAAAACTCCCCAAAGACCACACAAACAAGATAACAAGAGAGATATCACAGGACACTTGGAACTCATTTGCCCTCAATAGTCATCGCAACAAACAGAGCGGCATGCAGATGAATTTAGTCCATATGATAAGAGACACTATATATAGCTCAAACGCCGGGTGTGCTGCCGTGATCCAGATATAAAATGTTCTTGCTGAGGCATGATGAAATTTGTCACCACACTTTTATTTATTTACTTTTTTTTTTTAAACAAATGAGGTAAGAAGTCAAAACTATGCCAGACCACCTAATAAAGATTGTGGGTGGATTTGTCCCAGAATGCACAGATCTTTATCAGTGTTACCAACAAGAGCACGTTTCAACGAGTGAGAAACAATTTGATCCAAGTCAAACAAATTTGCTTCGTGGCCATGTTTTCCTTTCAAATGACCTCTTGTGTAAATAATCCCCCACCCAAAAACACATGCAGTCATTTCTCAGATTCAGAATTCACTAGATGTTACAAATGTATGATTCTGGCATTGAGTCAGTGCCTTTACCATGAGGACTCACTTCGTTCTCTTGATAATAGCAACAGACCAGCAAAGCACAGGTCACAAGTCCACTCTAAATTAATTGTTTTTCAGTTCATTGAGTAATCATGGGAGTGTTTTAATCTGATTAATTCATTCTTTACTGTTATTACTTCACTACATGTTGGCATAGTTCAGCCTTATGTTTTATCTTTTTAAATAGATATTTGTTGCGTGTATACAGTTGAAACCAGAAGTTTACATACACTGTGTAAAAAGACACATGACCTTTTTTTTCTCACTTCTTTTTATACAGTGTATGTAAACCTCTGGTTTCAACTCGACATACATACATACATACATACA